GTCAAGGACAGCTGAAAGCCTTGGGACCCTGAACCCATGTGGGAGACCTGGAAGAACCTCTTGGCTCCTGGCTTCGGATTGGCTCAGCTCCAGCCATTGTGACTGCTTGGGGAGTAAATCAACAGACGGAGGATCTTCTTCTCTGTCTCTCCTCCTCTCTGTATATCTGCCTTTCTAATAAAAATAAATAAGTAAATCTAAAAAAAAATTTAAAAAAACCCAGGATGCAGTTAAATCATGCTTTCTAGCTACTCTGACAATCTCTTTTAATTGGTATGTTTAGATTAATTATATTTAGTTGGATCAAGATTTATTTTTATGGATTTATATTTGTGCCATTCTATTCTTTGCTTGTTTTTCCATATTCTTTAGAGCTAGTGAATATCTTTAGGATTTATTTTGTCAATACTGCTAGTTTATTATAAAATACATCTTTAATGGTCTTCCTGGAATGTATAACATATGTGTTTTAGGGATTTTTTTCTGTCCTTTTCTTTTTTTCCTCCCAAGATCCCAAGTTATATACATGATGCTGTTTGGTGCTTTCAGCCGGTATACTACTTTACATAAGGAATTTTGAATAACATGCTCTTGTTTATTCCTCCTTTATATAATTATTATACATATGATTAAACAGATAATACATAGTGATAGTTCTGCTTTAGATTGTCAGTTATATTTTAGAGCACTTAAAACTAAAAAAACACTGAGACAGGGGTCCTAGTGATGCAAAACCAGTGAAGTGAATATGGTTTATAGTAATACATTTTACTGCATAAAGAGTTGGAGGAAAGGAGCTCACAGGATCCAGACATGGATGCAGGATTGGGAACTGGGCATGCTGGTGTGCTGAAACACTGCACTCTGCGCCATGCAAATGCACAACCTAATATGTTACCAGCATTTTAAAAAGTGACAATTACATTTACTTTTAGATGTACTGTTTGTAACACTCCTTATTTCTTTGATTAGATACAGTTTTGTGTCTGGCATCGTATGCCTTCTCAATGAGGGAATTCTTTAAACATTACATTCTTTGTTGTGAAGACTTTCATGGTAATTCTCACAGTTTTGGTTGGAAACGTATTTCTTCTTTACTCATTTTTGAAAGGTATTTTTTTTAATGTGGAATTCTGGGTTGGAAGATTTTCTGCAGCACTTGAGATATGCTTGCATAGGTTTTAAAAATTATTTTATTATTATTTTTGAAAGATTATTTATACTGGAAAGACAGATATACAGAGGGAATGAGAGACAGAAAGAAAGGTCTTTTGTCTGCTGGTTCACCCCCCAGGTGGCCGCAATGGCTAGAGTGAGCTGATCCAAAGCCAGTATCCAGGAAATTTTTCAGGGTCTCCCATGCAGGTGCAGGGTCCCAAGGCTTTGGATCATCCTCTACTACTTTCCCAGGCCACAAGCAGAGAACACGAAGGGAAGTGGGGCAGTTGGGATAAGTACCAATGCTGTTGTGGGATCCAGATGCATGCAAGTTAAGGACTCTTAGCCACTAAGCTGTTGCACTGGGTTTCTTATGTAGATTTTAGAAAAAGATTTGTTTATTTATTTGAATGTCTGAATGACAGAGAGAGGAAAATACCAGAAGAGGTCATTGATATTTTGGCTTACTCTCACAAAAGACAGCAGCAATACAATCTAGCCAGACAGAAGCTGGGGTCCAGAAACTGTCTGGAGCTCCCATATGGGTGGCACAGGCCCAAGTACATCTGCTGCCTTCCCAGGCACATTAGCAGGGAACTGGATGGGAGCAGAGCAGCTGGGACTCAAACCAGCATTTCAGTATGGGATGCTGGCATTGCAAGTGGTGGCTTAACAAGTTGCCTAACCCACTGTGCTACAATTGCAGCCTTTCCCATAGTCTCTAATGAGAAGTCAGTTGTCATTCTCACCTTTGTTCCCCGACATATGCTCCATTTCTACATCCATCCTCCTGGTACACCCTTCAAGATGTTCTGTTTGCCTTTTGTAAATGATGAGTCCACGTTGTTTGCTTTTTTTGTATTTATCCTTCTTGGAGTTTTCTGCGCATCTTGGATCTGTAGTTTGGTTTCTCTCATTAATTGTAGAGAGTTGCTGGGTATCTGATCAGATATTTTTTCTTTTTCTCTTTTTCTCCAGAGATTCCAGCTATAATATGAGATGCTATTTAATATTCTCCCACAGCTCTTGGGTCTTCTTTTTTTTTAAGATTTATTTTGTTTTTTTATTGCAAAGTTAGATATACAGAGAGTAGGATATACAGAGAGGAAGATCTTTTGTCTGTGATTCCCCCAAGCAGCCACAATGACTGGAACTGAGCCTATCTGAAGCCAGGAGCTTCTTCCGGGTCTCCCACGTGGTTGCAGGGTTCCAAGGCTTTGGGCCGTCCTCGACTGCTTCCCTAGGCCACAGGCAGGGAGCTGGATGGATGTGGGGCTGCTGGGATTAGAACTGATGCCCATATGGGATCCCGGTGCATGCAAGGCAAGGACTTTTAGCTGCTAGGCTACTGCACTGGGCCAGCGTCTTCTTTATCTTTGTGCCTGTGTCAAGTCTGTTAATGAGCCTGTAAAAGATATTCTTCAGGAATGCTATTATATTTTAAAAATTCTAACATTTCCATTCAGCTGTTTAGATTACAGCTCTCTGATGCAATCGCTTATCTCTTTATGCATCCTGTTGACCTTTTTCTACTAAAATCTTTAACATATTAACTATAATTCTTGAAATTGTCTAATAATTCTAATGTCTGGGACTGGTTATCTTGATTGCTTTATCTTTTGATGATGTGCTGTTTATTCTTTGTTTCTGCATGTGTCTCATAATTTTCAGTTGAGAGTTAGACATCCTGCTTAGAATTACAGACACAGAGGTCTTATGGTTTATACCTAGCAGTCTTATGGTTTATACCTAGCAGTGGGCATACTCTTGTTTTCTGTTGATCTTTTCTGTGAGTAATGGGATAGTATAATAAGGAACTGAGCCATATTTGGATTTTTCCCATTGCTATGGCTGCCCTCAGTGCATTGAAGATTTAAAAATCAGGTGTTGGGCCTGGTGGCGTGGCCCAGCAGCTAAAAGTCCTCGCCTTGAACGTGCCAGGATCCCTTATGGGCACCGGTTCTAACCCCGGCCACTCCACTTCTCATCTAGCTCCCTGCTTGTAACCTGGGAAAGCAGTTGAGGATGGCCCAAAGCCTTGGGCCCCTGTACCTGCCTGGGAGACCTGGAGGAAGTTCCTGGCTCCTGGCTTTGGATCGGTACAGCACCAGCCGTTGTGGTCACTTGGGGAGTGAATCATTGGGTGGAACATCTTTCTGTCTCTCCTCTTTCTGTATCTACCTTTCCAATAGAAATAAATAAATCTTTAAAAAAAAATAAAAATCAGGTGTTGCTTTGTGTTTAGGGAAGCCATTGGATGGATAGGTTTCTCTTTTCCCCTTGCTCTGTCCCCCCCTTTGCTTTGGACTTAAGCTTGCATGACAGAGTTTTCAGCCCATCTATGACTGCTCCCGTAACAGTAGTATGTTATTATTTATTATTTGTTATTTGCTAGTCTGGAGTAGAAGGCGAGCATTTTTTCTTCCTGGCTCAGCTTCAGTCTAGGTCCCTCAGTCTCAGAATGATTTTGCCTTTCCCTAAGGGTAGATGATCTCAACTAGTCTGGGCATAGGGAATTTTTGGTTCAAGGGTGACGAAGTTTTTCCTTTTTTCTACTCCCTGGCAATAACTGGTATCTGGATTTTCTGTTTTTTCCCTGGAGATTAAGGCTTTTGCCCGTAGAAGAGATGGGGAGGAGGGTTTGGCTGAGTCTGGTCCTTAGTGCTGTGCCTTCCCTGCTCAGGTTTCTGCCATGAGGAGACTTTGTCTGGTTTTGCACGTGCCCTTAGGCTGTCTTTTGAGCCTTTGAAGAGATCCCCAGAGGAGAATCTGCAGGTCTGTGCAAATTCCATGGATATGTGTTGCTCCTCTGGGTTCTACATCCCCATTTTAGTTTATGTGAGGATTTTAACAATCCATTACTGTTAGTTCTTTAAAACAGAGTTCTAGGGCCCGGCAGCGTGGCCTAGCAGCTAAAGTCCTTGCCTTGAACACCCCGGGATCCCATTTGGGCGCCGGTTCTAATCCCAGCAGCTCCACTTCCCATCCAGCTCCCTGCTTGTGGCCTGGAAAAGCAGTCAAACACAGACCAAAGCCTTGGGACTCTGTACCCGTGTGGGAGACCTGGAAGAAGCTCCTGGATCCTGGCTTTGGATCAGCATAGCATCGGCTGTTGCGCTCACTTGGGGAGTGAATCATCAGATGGAAGATCCTCCTCTCTGTATATCTGACTTTCCAATAAATAATTTTTTTTAAAGAGTTCTAGTTTTTACATTGTTACGCACAGCTAATTCCCGCAACCTGGTTCTTCATCCTGAGCTGAAAACACCAGATGCAATGGGGGCAGCAACAGGATGGAGGTGATGGGAGAACAGCAAGGAGGTGGGGAGAATGTCTAGGGATGATTGGTGAGTGGGCGGGGTTGGGAGATTGTGGGTGGGATTCTCAGGTGAAATGCCAGGTTACATCTGCTTGGTGGACGACTAGATTGGCACGAATTTCGTGAGCTGTGAGGAAGAAGCAATAGCGCCAGGCAGGGTGGGATATTTGAATAACTCCTTACAATTATAGCTGTAGGTAGATTCTTAGCAACGTGTTATGTGCTCCAGATGAACCGTGTCACATACCATCTTTCCTCAGAGAAGCCCGTCTTTATATTCCAAACTAGTCAGTTGCCCTCTTTCCTCATCTTGCTAACGGGTGCTAAGAAGGTTGAAATTTTGTAGATTTTGTAGCACTGCTTTAAGACTGAGAGTAATGCTCTTTCCAGCCATCTGCATCTGGGAGCTGCTGTTACTTTCTGACTATTCACAGCCTGAGCTTTGAGTTTTGCTGCTTCATTTGGGGGAAGTTAGATTTTCTCAAATGAAGTAGCACTAAAAACGTGACTTGTGTCCTTGCAGAGACTTGGGGACTGTGGCAGCCATGGAGCCAGTGTAGCACCACATGTGGGGATGGTGTCAGAGAGCGTCGTCGGGTGTGTCTCACCTCCTTCCCCTCCAGACCCGGCTGTCCTGGACCGTCCTTGGAGACTTCTCTGTGCTCCCTGGAGGAGTGTGCTGGTAGGTATCCTTGCTTCCTTCAGCAGTCTGCACTTCGAGGCCCCCAGCTGAAGGACCAATGAACCCATCACCAGTCTGAGTCCAGTGGGCTCATTCATGCCTTTTGATGATTGCTGGCTGCATTGCCCTTAAGCTTGTTAGAATTTCTAAGATGGGTGTAGCTGAGAGAGTATCTTGTCATTGAAAGGATTATATTTAAAACTGGAGAAGATGGGGAAGTGACAAGAAATAAATGCAAATTAAAGTTAGCCATAAACATTTTTTTTGAGATGCAAAAATGGAGTGAGATGATCCTGTCTTCCTAAGGTTTTCAGGTTGTTATTTCTCCTGCTAGTTTCCCTCACCAAAAGTTGGGGGGAAAAAAAGTTGTCCTTAATTTTTCTTCTAGCCGTCTCACTGAAGCCCAAGGGGACCACATTATTTGTCAAAGTGAGGACCAGACACGTTTTTTTACCCTTTGAGAGACCTTAATATTTTACCATTCCTGTCCAGCAGGAGGAGGTGGTGGGGACATTTCTTCATGCTATCTCCTGGGGACTGCCATTCCTGGGATTTGCTAAGCAGCTGCAAGGGGAGAAGCGAAAAGTGCTCCCTGGGTGTTGGATGTGAGTGGTCTATGGATGTGACACTCATGGGCTTTGTAAGGTTTGCTCCAGTTCATGGGGTTGAGTCGTGTTTATTTCCTGTAGGTTATGATAATGAGTAATCCTGGCTGTTCCCACGCAGCATCTCACCTCCCTGACTTTTCTCTGACCCTGGTTTGTAGATTGTCTTTCTTTCAGGTCCTGCCACTTTTGCTTTATAATTTCAGATGAGACAATCACCCTCAGTTTCCTGTTCCTTTGAGATCTCGGAGGCTTAGGTGTTCTTCTGAGTTTCGATCTCAGAGTACCTTTAAGCCTGAAGTGCAGGCCCCTGGCTGTCTGAGCCGGGGCCTTAGAGAACTCCTCTTCTGTTTTGTCTTCCCAGCTGGATCACTGGCCCGGCTCACTGCCTTCCATCCTCTTGCGGAGATGGTTCTCCCTTCCTTTCCTTCTTGGAGCTTCAGACCCAGGCTCTTCACCAAGCCCTCAGTCTGCCTGCTTGTTTTCTTTCCTAGGCCTGGGCCCTACTCTGAATCACTTTCTTTAGTTCTGTCCCATGCTGGTTTCTGAGTCTCTCTTATCTTCATGAATCCTCATCGCTCTTTACTGTTCCTTCCTTATCCATATAGGATGCTGCCCTCATCTGCTGCACGACATTGTTGTGTTATAGGTATATTACAATTTTCTCTTTAAAGATAACTTCTGGAGCAGAGGGAGGGTAAATAGGTCAGTTAATGTGGTTATCCCTGGAAGGGGACTAGATATGACTCTGTACTAAGCTACCCACCTTTTTTGGTTTTTAAGCTTAAATTTACCCAACAAGGGGAATTTTATTCCTGACTCATTTATTATCTTCCCAAAGACCAGCAGCAATGAAACAAAAGAAAGAGCAAGAACTCTGCAGGTGAAGCTTAGAACTGGTTCTCTGGAGTTCCTTTCTTTCCTGACAGCCTCCCTGTTGGAAATGTTTCCATGTCTTTTCAGTTCACCCACCTTCTCTTAAACCCGCAGTTGGGCTCCATGACCTCAGGCCTCATCACAATCTCTGCCATTTTAGCTTTCCTATGGAAAATTGGCATAGTCTGCTCGTTGTAGCTGCTCTGCTTCCCATTAGAACAACAACACACTCCTTCCCCGCCAGGAATATCAAGATTTGGCTCCTCTTGTAGCATGTTACTGCGTGAGGTTGCTGCTCACCACACTTTTTACAGATGGTTAGGCAGGTTTTAGGAGAGTTTACCATGTTTGCTGGAGTGTTATTGGCATGGAAAGATGAAAGTTATCTGCCTTAGAGATGAGGGGTAAGGGGATGCAGAAAGCCATCGACACACACAAAGTAAGATGGGGAGGAGAGCTGACAATAGGGTGAGATGCAGGGACTTGGGCACTTAGCAAAGGAGTTCATCTTCCCTCCCTCCTCTTCCCGCCTGAGCTCAGCAACGCTTGAGATCCCATGTCCTTTCTTCCTCTGTAGCGCTCCGGCCTTCCAGCTCATCTCCTCTTCAGCCCCAGGGTCCAGTGAAGTCTAACAACGTGGTGACCGTCACGGGCATCTCGCTATGCATGTTCATCATTGTGGCCACCGTGCTCATCACGCTGTGGAGGAGATTCGGCCGCCCGGCCAAGTGCAGCACCCCTGCCCGACACAACTCCCTCCGCTCTGCTGGCTTCCGGAAGAATTCGGACGAAGAGAACATCTGCGAGTTAAGCGAGACACGGGGCAGCTTCTCGGATGGGGGCGATGGGCACGCGGGGAGCCCTGGTGACATGGGTATCCCCCTGACCTACCGGCGCAGCGTGCCCGCATCTCCCGAGGATGACGCCTCTGGCAGCGAGAGCTTCCAATCCAACGCCCAGAAGATCATCCCGCCTCTGTTTAGTTACCGTCTGGCCCAGCAGCAGTTGAAGGAGATGAAGAAGAAAGGGCTGACAGAGACCACCAAAGTGTACCATGTATCTCAGAGTCCCTTGACGGACACGGCTGTTGAGGCTGCTGCTGGCACCCCCTTAGACTTAGAAAGCCCGGAAGAAGCTGCTGCCAACAAGTTCCGCATCAAATCCCCCTTTGCTGAGCAGCCTGCGGTCAGTACTGGGGAGAGACCTCCCTCCAGGCTGGATCGAGGCGTGTCCCAGACCGCTTGTGCCATAAGCCCCAGCCAGACCTTGATCCGCAAGTCCCAGATCAGGCATGTGGGTGTCAGAGGGCCACCCGCAGACAGGAGCCATCCCAGGAATTCTCACTTCCGAAGGACAGCTAGTTTTCACGAAGCCAAGCAGGCCCGGCCGTTCAGGGAGAGGAGCATGTCCACGCTCACCCCACGCCAGGTCCCCAGTGCCTACGGTTCTAGGATGCGGCCCTGGGACCAGGCAGAGGACAGATCCCGGCCTCAGAGTCGAGGGGCCCACCCACTTCCTGAGAAACAGGATGCTCTGCAAGGTGCAGGAGGCAGCAGTGGCCCCTTAAGTCCACTTCCTAAATGCTATGCCATGGGCCAGCCTTCAAGGAAACCAGAGCTGGGTGACCACCGCCAGACAGGGGTTGAGAGAACAGAGCCACACAGGGCCCGGAGAGGACCATCCCCCAGTCACAGGAGTCTCTCAAGGAAGCAGTCCTCCCCCACCCGCCCCAGAGATGGCTACCAGAGGGTCAGCCCACTGAGCCCTTCACAGTGCAGGAAGGACAAGTGTCAGAGCTTCCCAACTCAGCCTGAGTTTGCCTTCTATGACAACACATCCTTTGGCCTCACCGAGGCTGAGCAGAGGATGCTGGACCTCCCAGGTTACTTTGGATCCAACGAAGAGGATGAAACCACCAGCACGTTGAGTGTGGAGAAGCTGGTGATCTAGAGTAAGAAATAACCCAGGACCCTGCACAGCTGAAGGCCCACGGCTCAGTGTCCGCCACAAACACACACTGTCCTGTGGACAGCTTTGTGTACCTGTTGGGACAATCAGACGAAAGGTGGGGAGGAAGTAGCCTACGTGCAGGAGGGTGTGTGTGTGTCTGTGTGCGTGTGTGTGTGTGCATGCCCGTGTGTTTTAATTTGTGAGGAAGTGGTTATTTATCCTGAACTTTTCGCTTTGTTATCCTGTTTTTATTGACTTACTACTAATAACAATGATAATAAAAGTTAAACAAAAACAAATGGAGGGTGTGGTATGCAGGGTGGCTATGAGAGATGACCAAGATAGGACTTGGTGAGTGGGATATGCTTTGAAGATTGCATGAAGTTTCCAATTTGAAGCAGAAATCCGAGAGCATCAGCTAGTGTTAAGTTGGTATCACAATTATGAATTATAATTTATCGAGTTATACATATTTAGGACTTAACACTTATAGTTGCAGTATTGAACAGGTATTCTATTTGGCTGATAAATGAACAATATCCATTTGACTACTAAACTACCTAGAAATGATGATGCTGCAGAATATTCCAGAAAAGCTTTGAGCTTTTTCAGCCCAGAGTTGGCTCTGATCGCATCAATGCTTTTAGTGAAACACAAAGTCTAGGTGACTTTAATTGTGTGAGTTAATTTGGCTTTGGATAAATAGCATAAAAAAGCTGGTTTTTCTGGTAATGAATCAAATGAAGGCCTTAGCCATCGTGGTAGTGAAAATGTTTTGTGAAAGGATCCAGTTGGGACATGGGAGGTGGGTGCTGACTGGGACACAGCCCAGCCCCAGGAAGCCACTGTGGGTCCCTGGACCAGCAGCGTGGTGATTGCTGTCCCAACATTCATGCCTGTGTGTTTGCAAACAGGCCTTCATCGCATTATTTACACAATGTGGGAATTTCTCTTTGATACATGATTTAATTAGAACAAAGAGATGAAGAGGGGAGAAGAGGAGAAGAAAGGTCTTCCTAGAAACATAGGATCCCATCTGTTTGCTGACTCCGCCTTCCCTGTTCTGCAGGAAGGGCTTAGGGGCTCAAAGGACCCCAGCAGACGCTGGCGTGGGACGTGGGCTGGTGCACCCTGCTGTAGCCTGTGTGAGGCTCTCAAAAGCAGCAACTCCAGGAGAAAGCTGGCTCCTCTTGCAGCAAGAAATCAAAAAGAAAAAAAAGACAAAAAGAAAGGTCTCTTGGCTTTTCCCAAAGGAAGCTTCCCACTGATGGATGATCTGTGAGGCCTGGTCTTGTGTGATGCTTTGCCTAGAGACTGGGCTCTTTCCCCAGAAGTCTAACATCATGGCCCATGTGGGCACTATACATTCTTGCGTACCTCCTTCGGGTCCTTCCCTTGATGAATCACCTCCATGGCTTTGGATACATGCATTTCCCCTTCGTTCTCATGATGACCTCACTATCTACCACTCTAGCCCTGTCTTTTGCATTGTATTTTTTCTTCTTTGAGAATTTTTTAGGATATCAGACATGGTGAGGTTTCAGAGACTGTTGGAGATAGCAGAATTAAATATGTAGGGGTGGGGTGGAACTCACAAATACAAAAGTCATACTTGTAGAAGTTTCTTGTGGGGTGGTGCTATGGCATAGTAGAAAAGCATATGCCTATGGCACCAGCATCCCATGTGGCATCTCATGTCCTGGCTGCTCCATTCTGATCCAGCTCCCTGCTCACAGCCTGGAAAAACAACATAGGGTGACTCAAGTCACTAGGTCCCTGTACCTATATGGGAGTCCCAGAAAAAATTTCCTGGATCCTGGCTTCAGATTGGTTCAGCTCCAGCCATTCAGCTATTTGGGGAGTGAATCAGAAAGTGGATGATCTCTCTCTCCTTTCTGTACCTCTGCCTTTCAAATAAAACAAATCCTTAAAAAAAAACCTTTCTTGCATTGCCATTTCATTTCTACCATTTCATGTGAAAGCTATGACACCAATGAGAGGCTGTAAGAATAGCCCTATCTCTCAGGAACAGGAGGGGTAGGTTACTCAGTGCTGACAACTGGTATTTGCTGATGCGAAGAAGAGGAAACGAAGCTTTTTAATCTCATGCTCATTGTTTATCATATGAAAAAGCTTTGTTCTCTCTCCAAGTTCACAGGCTTTTGTGCCAGCGTTTGAGTATGTGCTCACTCATTCCAGGTTTCAATGTTAGACTGAGACCAACGCAGCTATGGAAAGGTGGGATTTAGAGGGAAATGTAGAGGGATGTAGAGAGATTTTCTATATAGTTATGTTCCCTAGTATATTATGCATTTCAGTGGATATCAAAGGAACTAAGAGCACCACTGAACTCAGTCACCATCTGCCTAGAGCCCCAGTTTTCCAGGGCTCTAACCCAGGGTTAATCTTTACATGTTAAAGTTAGGCTAATTTAGCCCATATCCTTAGAAAACGGAAATATGTCAGCATTGTCTTTGGAAAATAAGCAGTAGACACAATTGTATATTCCTTTTTCTAAAAAAATTATTATTATTGGAAAGGAATGCAAATTTTGCAAAGACAAGAAGAGACAGAGAAGATATTCCATCTGCCACTTCAATCCTCAAATGGCCTCAATGGCTGAAACTGGGCTGATCCAAAGCCAGGAGCCAGAAGCCTCCTCTGGGTCTCCCTTATAGATGCAAGGTCACAATGCATTGGGCCATCCTCCACTGCTTTTCCAGGCCACAAGCAGGGAGCTGAATGGGAAGTGGAGTAACTGGGTCACAAACCGGAGCTCATATGGAATGCTGTTATTTGGAGATGAAGGATTAGCTAATTGAGCCAATGTGACAACCCCAACAATTGTATTTTTCAACATATGTCCCTAGGTTCTAGCCCCAGCACTGACAAAGGCTAGGAACTCAATAACAATTTGTGGAATAAATGACCATCTGTTATATTAGAATAATTCTACCTAACACTTTAGCTGTTAAAACATGATGATGAGGGTCTGGCACAATGGCTTAATGGCTAAATCCTCACCTTGTAAGTGCTGGGATTCTACGATTGCCAGTTTGGTCCTGGCTGCTCCACTTCCCATCCAGCTTCCTACTTATGGCCTAGGAAAGCAGTAGAGTATGGCCTAAAATCTTGGAACCTTACACCCACATGGAAGACTCAGAAGCTCCTGGCTCCTGGATTCAGATCAGCCCAGCTCCAGCTGTTGTGACCATTTGGAGAGTGAACCAGTGGATGAAGATCTTGGTCTCTCCTTTTCTTCATAAATTTAATCTATCCTTCCAATTAAAATAAATCCTAAAGAAATGATGAGGATGTGTTCCTAGGAGATTTTAATTTCTACCTTTTCAGGACTCGCATAGCAGGTAAAGCTGCTGCCTGCATCCCATATGGTTACTGGTTCAAGTCCTGGTTGCTCCACTTCTAATCCACCTTGCTGCTAATTTTTTAGGGGCTATTACCCGGGAGAAGGGTGAAAATGTCTTGAGGTTATGTAATCTGATACACAATGGTCACTTAATTACTGCACATATATATCACCTCCCAGTAGACAAGGTGCTTTATCCTCCTGACAGTCTCCATCACATCCCCTACCCTCCTGAGTCTGTCCTTCCTCTTTGAGGTTAAAGTGCTCCCTAAGTGGATTTGTTAGAGCTGGAATGCTTGGGGCGCCGCGCCCTAGCCATGATTATCCAGTAATAACCCTGCTCTTCTTAACACTTTTCCCTCCTCGAGCTCTACTCCACCCAACTGAACTGACAAGCTGCTGTCTTATTATATTTAATTATATATTAATTAAATATATTAATTAATTATATATTAATTTCTTATTTTGTATTGGATGCATTGCTCCATAAAATAACGTTGCATTCTCCTTTTTAAACACAAAGGACAACATACCTATGTAATACTCTGAGTTTTTGTGTGCTGTGTTTCTCGTTTCTCCACATCACACTGAGTCATGGGTTAGACAAAAAGGAGTAATTTCGTGTGGTGGAAGGAATCTAATTTAATATTGGCCCTTCCCTTTCTGGCTGTGTCATTTTAAGTGAGTTGCTTAATCGCTTGAGCCTCTGCTTTCTGAAGGTAAAATGGGACTAGCACAATACTTTTGCTAAAGTTTTAAGGCGTAGCTGAGAACACTTATTCATTTCCTCTCCTAGCACTCAATTAAAATGAGTGTTAATGAACATGGAAGGTGTAACACTTCCATGTTTAGGGGCTATTACCCAGGGGAAGGGTAAAAATGGAGAACAAGGAGATAAATGGTTTTGATACTTCTTGGAAGGCACGGTCTTTGGGAGAATGCTGAATGAGAGGAGCCTTAACCCCAGCGTAAGATCACAGATAGTGAGGACTCAAACTGTTGGAAGGAAGAGAAGACGGAGGAGTGTGAGGTAGTTCTCTTCCACTGCAGTCCTCAGCTGCACTGCTAGCAAGGTGGTTAACCTCAGACAAAAAAAAAAAAAAAAAAAACCAAACCAAAATAAAACAAAAAAGCAATAATTGGCCAGAGGAGCCATCAAGGCCTGCATGGAAGTCTCCTGTGATCATCTGTTGGTTGATTTGTTTGCTTGCTTCGTTGGACGTCCTCAAAGGCCCAAATGAAGATTACGGGGGTCATCAGTCTAACATGAAGCCTTCTTTTTAATCGGTTCTACGTGGATATTCTTAGTTCTTGGTCAGCCTTGCTCATGTCCATTCTTTTAAAAAGATTTTTTTAAGATTTATTTTTATTATTTTTTTATTGGAAAGGCGGATATACAGAGAGGAGGAGAGACAGAGAGGAAGATCTTCTGTCCGATGATTCACTCCCCAAGTGAGCGCAACAGCTGATGCTATGCCGATCCGAAGCCAGGAGCCTCTTCTGGGTCTCCCACGCCGGTGCAGGGTCCCAAAGCTTTGGACCGTCCTTGACTGCTCTCCCGGGCCACAGGCAGGGAGCTGGATGGATAGAACCGGCGCCCATATGGGATCCTGGCGTGCAAGGCGAAGACCTTAACCACTTGCGCCACCTTGCCGGGCCCGAAAATAAATAAATCTTAAAAAATAAGTAAATAAAGCTGAGACTCGAGCCCAGGCAGCCCCAACCTAGGCTGCGGGTATCACAAGGAACATCTTCTTTTTGAATCTGGATCAGAGCTAAAGCAGCGGGGACTCAAACTGGCACCCATATAGAATGCAGGTGTTGCAGGTAGCAGCTTAATCCACTGTGCTACAAAGGCAAACAGAGTCAAGTGGCGTATTAACTGCTGTGCCATATCCTTGCCACATATTTTGCAGATTGTCAAAGTAGAGCTTAAAATTTATTCAATTAGGATGAGGTGTAGAATTAGTATCATAAGACACCATGCTCCAAGGGTCCAGGACACGTGCTTTTGATAGTTTGCCAGTCCTGAATTACTGCCAGTCTCGCCACTCCAAGCACGATGAAATCTGTCCCAAATCCACTGGCTGACACAGTCCAACTTAGAGTCTCTATTTGCCCAGATATTCACTGCTGACGCTTGGCTGGAGTAGTCGATCAATTTGTTCTGCACTCCGTCCTCTGTTATGGTATCAGTTGTCCTCTGCAGGTTCCAGTGTGCTGCCATATCCTCCATGTGCACCTGGATATGCTGTCCACTGCTCCATCTGAGCCACAGAGCAGGCCCAGCTCTGACACAAGCACTCCATAGTCAGACCATAGAACCTGAAATTCTATGTTTGGGGTTCTGAGTCCAGCAGCTCAGTTGGGGGGGGGATCCTCATAGAAACTTCATCTGAGGTGATCCCACACTTGATGCTTGTGTGTGCTTGCCAATACAGGGTTCAGCATAATCTGTTGCCTCAATTGGCTTATGTACCTTATGCAATTGGCTTATGACCTTATGCAATTGCTAGGTCAGTTCTGCCTCTAATCCCATCTTTTACACAATCCAATGGGTTTTGGAGCCCAGCCCAATCCTGCCCAACACATAGTCGGCCCTCATACTAACCAGGGGGAGTTACAGCCTCGTCAGAGCAACCCACAATAATCCCCACTGGTTCCACCCCCACCCTGCTCCCCATGGTTGCCAGTATGTACGGTAGACTAGTCCAGTCTGTTCCACATCCCATTCAGCTCTCATAAATGTTGATGGTCACTGAAGCCTAGTTCAATCCAACCAGCCTCACTATCCAGCCCACACATGTGCCAGTGTGTGCCACTCTCTGACTAGCCATGCCTGCCCCTAATACTGGTTCTTATGCTCACCAGACAGAGTGGCAACCCAAGAAGGAAGCAACCACTGCTTCCCTAATGGGCCCACTCCCACTCCTG